ATTTCAGAGTGTTTGCAAGAGCATCGAGATTTTTCTAGACTGACATTGTGCATCACGGTAAATGATTTCCCATCTGATTGTGCATCACGGGCCAATTGAGGGAGTCGATGCAATTAAATCGCTGATGATAGGTCGAAGAATGTGCATATTTTATATATTTAATAGTGTAATTTTGTACACTAAATTTATTCGCACGTTTATATTTTTCGACTTATTTATTACTTGGATGAATTTATTTGCTTTGATGTTTTATGTGTAATTTTCAGTAATTTGGAGCAATTTCTGTACGCAAGCATGGGTTGGAATTTCGCGCGATCATTTATTAGGCCTTCTCAATTACCTCAAATCAACACACAATAAAAGCAAATAATGTCCAATTCACACGGCCCATTTCACATAGCCCATTCATGCATCCCATTTAATTAAACAAAAGAAAATCACGCAGAGAGAGATGATGTGGGGGCTGGACATCAATTGGAAGAGATTTTTGATTGGTTGGACTCCAATAGAGGATTGAATTATTTAACGGAGAGAGAGGAGAGTACACAGAGGGGGACGCCACGAGAGAAAAAGAACAGCGCACCTACAGACGCACGCACGGGAGAAGAAAAGAGGCTACACAGGCGGAGGGAAGCCGCACCCGCACACGAGGGAGAATTTATTCGTTTTCTTTTATCTGCATTTATTTTTATTAGAATGTTAGTTTAGGATTTTTATCCAGTTTTAGGGGATGTTTGAACCCTAACTTGAATTTGTCTATGAATTTAAGGATCTGAATTTATCATTGATCAATCAAGACGCCGTATTTATTTTTGTTGATGAGTTGATTCATGCTATCTGTGTTTAGTGTTTATGAATTATGATGTTTGATTTAGTTTGGCCAGCTACGTTGAATATCCATGATTTAATTGCTAGATTGGGGACTTTAATCCGTAATTGTTATTGTCTTGTTTCGTTAGTAGTAAACTAGGGGTCATGCATCTCTAGGGTAACGTGAACATAAGTTAAATAGTCCGAGCTTTTGCGACTGTTGCTTAGACTGATCTATTTTCCTAGGAATTAATGCTGCTAGTGTATTAAATCTAGAGAGCTTATTCTAGGTTGTCCACTAGTTAGGTTTAGTCGAAGAGCCTATTTCGATTAAATAATCAGTAAGGGAAAATTCGGTTAACAGAGCTTATTGTTAGCTAGGGCTGGTAATTCATTAGCAATTTAAAGAAAGCGTCGAAATTGATTAACGGTAAATTTAGATTGGGTGATAACTGAACCGAAAACTGGACTTCTCTTATTTTATTTGATTTTTATTTTATTTTCTTTTGTTATTTTTATAAAACCAAACCCCCCATTTTACTGCTTTCTTAGTTTAGTTCAATTAATACGAAAATTGTCACGACTTAGTTCCTGCTCCTCGTGGGATCGACCCTTACTTGCCGCTACTACTAGTTAGTGGAAGTTTGTTGAGGAAAACTTTATAAATTTAAATTTGCCGCGTCGCGACGCGCGGTCAACTACGCATGCCGGTAATTTTGGTGAAGGGACGAGTAATTTCGTCGAAGGGACGAGCTTTACCATGAGAGGACCGGACATTGAGGAAGAAATTGTTGGAGATGAAGATTTCAGTCCCGGTGAAGACGATTTTACTGATGAGACGTCGGAAACCGAATCGGACAGATCAATTAATGAGGAAAGCGAACAA